TGCGCAAGGGGCGTCGCTTATGGCGGCAGCGAACCTCGCACCTCCCCGAGCATCCACCTCTTCCAAGAGAAGGCGTAAGAAGAGGAGCGGCAAAAAGAGAACCACTTCCCTCGCTGAAGACACCCAGGCTGACAGCGTCGCCGAGAGACCGTCCGCCGGTCAGCCCGCCAACAACCCAGCTACTACCGATGCCATCGTCCCCCGAAAAAGGGAGACAGAGAGGACCAAGCCGACCGCCCGCGCAAGCACCTACGGACCAGCAAACGCCCAAAGGGCAGAAGAGGATAGCAGCACAAAAGCTGTTATACTTTTCACACTGGAGCTGCTCCAAGAGTTGTTGGCCGCCATGAGCCAGGAGCAGAGCAGAGACGCCGTTGCTCGCATCGCCACCAAGGGCGTAGCTGCCCTGCTGGCTTGGAGGGAGGCGCCCTGCTCCGCCAACACTTCTTGTTGCTGCGGCCACCCCGCGGCTCGGGAGCACCTGTGCCTACTTGGCCCAAGTAGACGCACCGTGTGTGGGCGCCGGTGGCCGCCGCAACAAATAACGAACAGGGCACTCCGCAGACCGCATAGCGGTGCGGACTGCCCCACATACCCCGGACGAGACACCAGAGGGTTGCAAGTAAGTCGCCGCCTCCGTCGCTGGTCGCTCGGAGCTGGGCCTCCCCAGGTACCGCCTGGGGTCTTACCTGGCTCGGGCTTGACCGCCGAGGCGGCGTGAAGACCGAAGCAACCCCTCCCAACAAGGACACCAACACCGAAAACCCCACGACCTACCCCTATTTAGGGGTAGCGGTAGACACCGCTGGCAGGGGGCTACAGCCCCGATCCAGCCACCACGCGTCCCCTACGGGACGGTGTGAAGACTCGAGAGAGTTTCAAGGCAGTCTTGGCTCTGGCGTGGCTCGGTGCCCTAGTTGTACCTCGCTGCTAGCTTAACCTAGATGCTGCTAGATTAACACTTTGGATGATTAATTTGTGAAAACGAATTAATTATTATTCCGGGTTATAATTTGGTTTCTGGACTAATTAAACCCCATTATTTCAGGATTGTTTATTGAAATGTTAATTTATAACATAGTTTAGTTTAATGATGAATTAATATCAAATTGTTATTAGTCCTGTGATTTGCTGTTTCTCTGTATTTGGTTGAATGAAATATTATCAAGTTTTAAAAGAAATTCATTTTTTAATTATGGCCGATCCTCTTCTTACATCAGAAGTGGGATCGGATCCACTCCCACTTCACGATCAAACCAACTCGACCAACTGTATGGAACAGCAAATGTTTTTTTTTTCTGCCGGTATGGAAGCAATTTTATTAAAATTATCAAATAGTTTAAATCAGCATCCCGTCAATCCACCTACCCCCTTTAAATTGGTGTCATTCAATCCTGATGACGCAGATTCCGACATAAAAGACTGGTGTACCTTAAGCGAAATGATTATTGAAAAAAAGAACTTGTAGGGTGTTGATCTCATTATTGCACTCACTCACGCTCTTAAGGGTCGCGCTGCAACTTGTCTTACAAAAATAAGGCCAGATAACATGTCCTGGTATGCTATTAAGGAAATATTAATTTAGAAATTTTCAAAACCAATGATGATGCAAGACTAGTTTGATCAGGTCATTAAGTTTCGCCTTGGTGACAAGGAAAACCCAGCTGAAGCGGGCACACGCTTATAGAAAAAATCACCAACACAAACCTACCCGAAAAGGTTACAACGGGCTTTGCAATTTCGATTTTATCCCAATGTGATGATAAAATACGTCGCGAGTTAAACTCTGTAATTATTAATGATAAACATCAACTCTTTCGTACTTTAAGAAGCTTTTCACTTAAGAGATGTCACAATGATCCTTTACCATCGGAAGTAGAACAAAAAAGGTTCCGCCCTTCGGTACCATTTAAAGGTTCCTGTCATTTTTGTGGCAAAACAGGACATCGGGGCCACGAATGTCGAAATGAAAATCGCTCGTTCACCAAAAACACTTCTATGACAGCTAAGCCAGATTCTTCAATGACTAAGACCTACTGCTACATCTGCACCAGCCACATAGCCAGCGCCTGCCCCAAGCGGTATACGAAGAAAGAAGAAGACGCTTAGAGCAGCAAGCAAGTCACCCTATGCAGCAAACCATCTCGTGGGACATCATTTGTTTTTGATTCAGGATCAACTGGGTGAGATTCAATTAGCTCTTAATAGTACCCGTTCGAGAATCACTAGATTTACCCTTTTGGACTGATGTTTGGTATACAAGGAAATTCCCTGGGATTATCTAAAATAGCTTTTAGTTCACATAACGACGTTATATCCAGACTAAACTTGAATGATATTAGATCTAGTGCCTCCAGCAATATCATTAAGTCCTCAGAGGCAGTTTCTCTCCCATTTAATAGAGTCAAAGCTAAAGTACGACCTTTCTCACTAGGTGATTTCGTGTTTGTCAAATCTGAAGAAAGGCACCAAACAAAATAAGATAGAAAATTTAAAGGTCCATTTAAAATAGCGGCTATATTAGAAAACGATCGCTATGGATTGAAACATATTGATGGTTCAAATCGAGTTTATAAATGTTCCCACGAAAGTTTAGAGGTGCCCCGGGGTCCAACTGAATTTCTTGAAATGGCCGAGTATTGTAGTAATGAACATTGTTCATGAGATCGATTGCCAGTTAGATAATATAGAATTTAATGAAAATTATAACCAACCTGATGATGCTTCAGATACTATCTGGGTTAGTAGTGGCCACACCATGACTGCACATTCTGATACCTTATCGGCACAATCTGATACAATTTCGGCTAGCTCTAATCCAACAACTATATATTCTGAACCTTTAAATATAGTGGTACAAGCAGAAGTACATCGACCTAATGAATGTAACTGAAATTTTATTGAAGGGCTTGCGCCGGTCCAATAATCTGGCTGTAGGGAATCATAATTCCGGTCCAGCATAAATGATATAGGGAGTAACAACTCCGGTCTAGCAAAGGCTATAGGGAGTAACAACTCCGGTCTAGCAAAGGCTACAGGGAGTAACAACTCCGGTCTAGCAAAGGCTATAGGGAGTAACAACTCCGGTCTAGCAAAGGCTATAGGGAGTAACAACTCCGGTCTAGCAAAGGCTATAGGGTGTAACAACTCCGGTCTAGCAAAGGCTACAGGGAATAATCATTCCGACCTAGCCCCTCTAGAGACTGTAAAAACGAAAGTATTGCAGAACCTCAGGTCGAACCAAAATTAACAACCATAAGTTTGAAGGGTCAGTTTGGACCGGACCAGACGCTATAATATTGTCAGGATAATCGAACGATGTTTTTCCTTCAGAAGTCTAAAAGTAAGAAGGGACGCGTGCGAGGGCGCACGCACGTCAGCATGGCCGTGTCGGCGCCCGCGCGCCGCCTGAACGAAACCGTATACAACACGTGCACCGAGCGCGTCATTCGATGCCTCACTCTCCCCACTACTAGATTTGCCGGTATAAAAGACGTGTAACGATCATTTTCAAGTCAGTCTTTATTTCCCACTAAAAGATAAATTACATGTACTTAATAACCTCATTCTAATGTGTGATAAAATTGTTATCCCAGAATCAATGAGACAAACTATTATTAAGATGGCACACGAAGGACATCTAGGGATAAATAGTTCTATTCGTCTAGCTAAAAGTACACTTTACTGGCCTAACATGAATGCTGATATTGAGAAGTATATAAACTCATGTCATGCTTGTCTCACACACAGAAGAAACAATAGTAGACAACCTATCCTACATCATGATTATAAGCTTTTGCCATGGAATAAAGTAGGTATAGATATTTTTCAGTATAAAGACCTGAAATATCTACTTGTAGTGGATTACTATTCTAAGTATATAGAATTAGCATTACTGAGCTCAAGCTCAAATACAAAAAATGTAGTTATTCATTTAAAGTCAATCTTTGCAAGACATGGTATCCCAGAAATAATTGTTTCTGATAACGGTCCACCTTTTAACAGTTTAGATTTTCAAACCTTTACTAAGGATTGGAATATTAATCATGTTACCTCTAGCCCATACTTAAGCCGTTCTAATGGCATGGCAGAAAGAAGTATAGGCATTATTAAAAATCTTTTTAAGAAATGTGAAGTAGATAAAACTGACCCTTATATAGCTTTGCTTATGTATAGAAACACACCTAAGGATACAGGACACTCGCCTTCACATTTATGTATGTCAAGAAGTTTACGCACTAAAATACAAGTCACTGAGTCACAACTTTCACCGAAACTAGTAAATATGAATCTTCTTAAATATAACATTGAAAAACAGAAAAAGTATACAACACTTTATTATAATCAACACACAAAGCCCTTGAGTAAACTGAATATAGGTGATAAGATTTACTTCAAGCATCAACCACACAATTCACACAGTAGTTTTGTCATTCAGTCGCCGCACGGTAATTTCCGCAGAAATCGTGAGCACATATTAAAACCACTATGTCCTGTCTCTGAAGCTGCACCTGAAAACAAAACAAATGTAAACAGTGATATTACAAATAAGGTACCAAGTAATTGTAACCCTACTATTAATGATACGCCGAAGATGACACGTTCGGGTCGCATTGTTAAAAGGCCACAACGTTATCTTCAATAGTTTTAAGTCTTAGTTGTATGGTTTTCATATATTTTCCATGTTAACTTCATAACCTCAACTTGGATTTGTATAACTATATCTTTGCGGGTTATTTAGAATGTAAAATTCAAATGACGTTTAATAGCTGTCATGTTTGACAAGCTGCGTTCAAAGATGGATGACATGTGAGGCATTTTTTGAATTTATTGCCGATATTTTTCATCCCTGGTTATTACAAAAACAAATAACTTTTCCAGTCATTCTTTTCGTGGATGGCCACGCGTCCCATTTATGTTTGCAAACAAGCCAATTTTGTGAAAAAAATGGGATAATTTTGGTAGCTTTGTTACCGAACGCCACCCATATTTTACAGCCTATGGATGTTGCAGTGTTCAGAAGCCTCAAAGAAGCATGGAGGAAAAAAACCCATCAATGGAGGATGGACAATGTTGTTCAAGGAGGTTCTCATATCCTAAAAAAGAAAGATTTCGCAAAGTTACTGCAAGAAGTGATACTTCAAAATATTACAAAATCTATGTTGTCCAATGGATTCAAAAAACGTGGATTGTTCCCGTGGAATCCGCAAGCTGTTGTGATACCAGACCAAGGATTATCCCAAGAACAAGAACGTAATTCAACCGTGATGAAAACGCAATACCTAAAGCGGGGTTTGGATTTTCTTAACGACATGATGGGAGCAGAAAAAGTAGCTATTTTTGAGGCATCTGAAGGTACTTGGAATGGAGATCCACTGGAGACTTCTTTATTTAAATTGTGGAAGAAAATAAAAATAGAGAAACTTTCTTCAGAGGCTGAAGAAAGTTTAAACTGTGTTGATGGGGAAAATATTTCTGACGGGCCGGTCAGAAATGATGATTTCCCACAAGCAACCGAGGCCTCTACTAGGATTGCTGATAATTTATTAGCACACCTCGATTCTTCAGAGATTCTTTCTGATGGAAGAAATATAGAAGAAGCTTCTGTAATGGAATTAGATGTCATTACTGCCTTGGATCCAAATGCTTCGGATTCAGTTTCAGTAATAGAGGCATCTAGCAGTCTAAATAAAGAGAACGTGGCAGGTCCGTCACACAAGGAAATACCAAGTCCATTTAAGAGGCACTTCTTTTATCCTGCGTTTGAAGAAAACAAGAAAAAAAGGATAATGAGAGAAAGAATGCCAACGATTGCGTCCGGAGAATTGTGCCAAAAATATTTCGAAACCAAAAAGAAGAAGAAAGTGGATCTTGAGCAATTGAAGATAGAACGAGCCACTGAAAGGCAACGAAAGAAGGAAGAGAATGAAAGACTAAAGAAAAATAGGGTTAAAGTGGTGAAAAATAAACACATTAAAAGTGTATCAAAGATTCTTTCAGATAGCTCTGACTCGAGTGTCGATGTTTCTTCTGGAGATAGTGTGGTTTCAGAATCCTCGGGAGATGAAAACTTAAGCAACCTAAACCCTTCTAGAAAACCGTTATTAAAACAAATTAATGAATATGTTATTTTCACATACAATAATAAGTATTATCCTGGCAAAATAATTAATGTTACTGAATATACTGCAACAATTTCATCCATGATACAGTGTGGTCGCTTATGGAAATGGCCCGAGAGACCTGATGTTCTTGAATATCAATGGAAAAATGTGACATCCCATATAAATGAACCCAAAAAGACCAGTAAAACGCGTAATGTTTACTCTGTTCCTGAGCTAGATTTCATGTGGGATTAAGTTTCCAAAAGACCTATCTGCCCTTCCAGTTCTAGCGTTCGTCACTGAATATTATATTTTTTCTATATTATAATTAAAATGTTTTTTGACATATCTGTGGTCTTATTTACCATAAAAGTAGCTTATATTCATATGGCCAACTACTGATGCTAAATACGGTCAACTACTAATTTTTTCAGATTTTTATTGGTCAAGGTTCAAATTTTTTTGAAGTGTGTATGTTTTGTTCAATTGAAAAACTTATTAGCAAAACTTAATCTGAAGGGTATAATGATTTCTTTTAAGTACCCACTGAAATTCTAAAATTTAAATGTGTGTGGTCAATAAAAAAACATTTTAGCAGCGATCTTAAGTGGTCAATTACTGGTGCCTCTACCTTAAAATCAAGTCATCAAGATAGGCCGTCAAGGTCCCATCAGCAATAAGGTTACTAAAAACATCGTTGACAAATCTTTGAAATACGGATGGCGCTGTACACAATCCAAAGGGCATTTTAAGGAACTCATATTGACCTTGAGGTGTGACAAAGGCTGTGTATTTCTGGCTGTCTTTATGCACATTCACGTATAAAAATCCGTTACATAAATCAAGCGAGGTGAATACCTTTGCTTCTTTCTTAACTATCTGGTCCTCTATTACTGGTAATGGGAATCTTTCTCGTATAACCTTTTTATTTAATTTTCTATTATCCATACACATTCGACGTGATCCATCCTTCTTGTGAGCCAGGACAATTGGGCATGCGAAGTCAGATTTACTAGGCTTAATTATTTCTTTTGCTATCCATTCTTCTATTTGTTTAGTCACGATATTAATTTCTGGGGGCGACAAACGTCTTGGGCTTTGGTAGACAGGATCTTCATCTGTTAGTAAAATCTTTATTTATTTATTTATTTATTTATATCTTTATTGTTTACAAATTAGCACATAAGACATTACAAATATATAGACTTAACAATCGGCGGTCTTATCGCTCACGGCGATCTCTTCCAGACAACCTTGATACGGATTAGTTCGACGTTGCTACTACTTTTCTTATTATTAGGTTTATATTCTCTACACATCTTGTAAATTTGTTCTGCATACTTGGATTCTTGTATATCATATTCTTAATTAGCTTTATTGTCTTCAACTAGAAGGGTGAGGTGCATAATTTTTTCCATATAGACACCATCGGGAGGAAAATGCACTTCAAAATCTTTGAGTATAGGATTTCCAATTACAACAGTTACGGGTATGTCATGGTCCTTTACGACACAGAACTTTACATCTGCATGGTACTGGTCAATCTGGACTATGGCTGAGAATATTCCTGCCGTATTGACTTTATTTTCTGCTATTCCTGTTAGACAAGTCGATTTCGTTTTGTAGTCTTCAATACTATCCTTAATCTTCTCAAATTCTGATTTTGTAATTAGGTTTACGTCACTTCCAGTATCTATAAGAGCCATAACCCCTATTCCGTTAATCATTATCTTTTTGTAGGGAACTATGTCCTTCTTATCTTTATTTTGTTCATGCATGCCTTCTTTTTCTTTATTCTGGATATTGAGTGTCTTCTTATGTTGGTTATTAGTGCATTCAGTAGATTTGTGACCGAATTCATTGCATTTAAAGCATTTAATTCCCTTGGAACAGGATGGTGATTGGAAGCCTAATTCACCACAGTTAAAGCATCTTTTCCCGTGAATCATTTTACGTTTTTCCGTTAAATTAGATGAATGCCTAGTTGCAGGTTTACTTTCTACTTTCTTTCTGAATTCGCTGTAAATTTCCAACTTTTTCCGGAATTCTTTTATGTCCGTGGCACCATACAAAATGGTTTTGTTAGTCTCAAGGTCACGAATACCATCAATGACATATTCCATCAATGCAGTGTCTTCTACCCTGCCATGGAGTGCCAACTCTTTCATGGTCAAAAAGTATTGTTATTATGTTTCCTCTTTTTCATTCTACGCGCGGCAAGTTTCTTATGTATCATTGCGCTATTAACCTTAGGGCTTTCTTCAAGCTTGAGTAGTCTTTGACTCTTCCCATAGATCTCAGAAAAAGTTTCGCAGTTCCATCCAAAAGTCGCTTAGCATAGATCAGTTTCTCAATTTTAGTCCACTTCATCAGCTGGGCAGTATCTTCGAATTCGTCGATAAATGTCTCAATGGGGTAGGTGTCGTCTCCAGTAAAAATTGTCATCGAATTTTCCAAATCCTTGAAGGAAATCTGTACCTCATCGTCTTCATCTTCGCTTTCTTTGCTGTCTGTTTTAGGCGGCATCTTGGCGGTAACACTTGTGTTGGTCTTAGAACTCTGAGAATTTCTTCTTCTGCTAGTCGTACAAAATGATAGCCTTTTGGTACTCATCAAAATCGAAATTAATTTAATCTTGTCTTCATATAAAAAAAATAAATGCAGACAGTCTTCTTCAAAAGCTACCACTTTAGTAAAAATAATTCTCGGCTGGCAACATTTTCCACCATTTTGTGTCGGTAAAGTAGGAATGACTTTGACACTTGTTGCTAGCTTCACTCACCGGGCCGCCGTCACTGGCGGTGTGTCGGTAAAACAGATGCAAATGGCGTTCACAATTACGGCTCAAGTTGACAAGAATCAGCACTTTTTTATTAGATGAGTCTTTAGTTTTCGTCGTCGATTCACTTCAAATATTGTTTTACTTCCCGGACGAGCCCCCCAAAGTTGTTGGGATGTGGCTCAAACAAATTTGAATATGTTTTAACACTTTTATTTGATTTTATTACTTACAGATCAACACAAGTTTTTCATCACCACAAGTCTTCTCCTTTGACAGCTAGACAACCTCAGACCGCTAACACTACCATAGATTACACATAAAAATAATAGTCCTGTTGACTCATTCTACTGTTCTACCAAATCTTATTAAACTAAATAAAAAAAACAAAATTACAAAACCAATCCACATATATATTTATTTAAAATACAACTGGCGACGAGGAAAACTGTGTAATAGTAATTGTGTACGTGACTTTATTGTTTGTAGAGAACTATACATACATACATATACATGTATTAATTGCCAATTGGTGAAATCGAGCAATTTGATTTATCAAACAAAAAATGGGCGATGTACATTCAATGCGTGGAACAGTTCATGGCGACGAACGTATCAAAAAACATTTATAAGTGTAATTCTTCTAGGTGAAGCTACTTATGATTTAATGTGTGATTTGTGTGCGCCGGGCAACCTAGAAACCAAAATATTTCTGGAGTTAGTAAAGATAGTTAGGAGACCATCTCGAACCAAAGCGTTCTAACATAGCAGAACGAAATATTTTTAGAATGCGACGACAAAATGTCGGCAAATGTCTGAGCGATTATTTGCAAGCTCGAAAAAAATCTAAGAGATCAATTAGTGTCTGGTTTAGTGAGTGATGATATGAGATCGCGACTTTTCGCCAAGTCGACGCACATACGGGTATTTTGCTGATCAAATCGTAAAAAAATCAAATTATAAGAAGTTGTAGCAGATAAAAAAAAACTTGTTCTGATAGTTCTCGAATGACTGGAGAACAATAGATAACCCGTCCCGGTTCTTATCGGAGCACCCGCGCACTTGTTTTGATGCAAGTTAGTCATCGCTTCAACTGCACGTATCTTCCGCATTTCGTAAGTGTTGAAAAAAAAAACACACAACTACAGTATAAGTGTTGTGTTATTTCCGGTTTCTGCCCGGTTATTATATTAATTGATAATGACAGTTTATATAAAATTATTATGACCTAAGTAGCCTTTCATACCCATCCCCTTTTTTGATCCAAGACAGTGGTTTTCTCTATGTAGATGACGTTCTCGTTTTTTCTCGGGATGCCGCCACTCACAAGGAACAACTCTGCCTTCTTTTCAAGCGTTTCCAAGAATACGGGGTTGTGATAAACCCTTCAAAATGCGTTCTTGGTGCCAGCGAGGTTTCTTTCTTAGGCAACTTCATAAAGATAGGGTCCAACACCTAATGGATTTTTCACCCCCTGAAACTATACAAGGGATGAGGCGATTTCCAGGTATGATCAACTACTATCGCCGTTTCATAACCCACGCCGCTAAGTTTCAGGCGCCATTAATTGACGCTCTTGCCTCGACAAATAGCAAGGGACCAAAACCTTTGCCTTGCTCTCCGGAATAGCTAGATGAGTTTGAGGCATGCAAGAAGAGCCTGTCCGATGCAACGCTCCTACAGCACCCTGTCAACGACGCACTGCTGAGCCTTTTTACGGACGCTTCCAGCGTCCACGTTGGCACTTGCTTACAGCAACAAATTGATGAACAGTGGTTTCCTCTTGCATTTTTCAGCAAGAAACTAACCCTGCAGCAGTCTCAGTGGCCTGCTTACCGTTGAGAACTTTTGGCGGTGTACGAAAGCGTACTTTAGTACGAAAGCATAGTTTAGTATTAGGATGTATTGATGGCACTCATGTGGCCATAATTAAACCAACAATTAGGGAACATGAGGAAAGATTTTTTAATCGCAAACATTTCCACTCTAGAAATGTTATAATTGTAAACACTTATTTTGATGAAATTTTTATTAACTAAATAACAATTTAGAGTATAATTTAGTTCTATCTTTTTATTTATATTTACAGATTTAAAAATACTGTCCGTTGATGCATCCATTGGAGAAGCATCTCATGATAGTTTTGTTTGGAATCAAAGTCATAATCAAAATCAAAGTAATAATGGAGATGTTTTTTACTAGGTTAGTATAATTATGAATAAAGTCAAATATTATGCATTCTTAGTTTGTAAAAATATGTAATGATTAACATTTTTAGGTGATTCTGGATATGCACTAAGGGAGTATATGTTGACACCAATATTAGACGCTGCTGTGGGCTCGCCAGAAGAATATTATACAAAGTTGCACTGCTCGGCCCTTTATACAGTGGAGCGTACAATTGGTGTATTAAAAAACAGATGGCGGTGCTTATTAGGCCATAGGGTGCTTCATTATAATCCGAATATGGCAGCCCAAATCATAAATGCATTTTACACAACATGTGCATCAATTCGGTAGGTATTAATCTTGATGATAATACAGAAGAATATATTCATAGTTTTTCACAATTTCTTCCTCAGGAATCATCCAGCAGTGCATCAGCTGCTGAACTGAGACGTGGCATAGAAAAGAGAGCTGCGTTAGTTTGGCAGTTGTGGGCGAGCAGGAATATATGTTAAATTCTAATAACTTGTGTTAAGATTTTAGTTTAGGTAAATTTTATATGATGTTCCTTTGTAATTTCATACTGCATTTATTCTGCTATTTCTAATAAGATTGTATGTATTAATTTAATATATGTCATTATAAATGTCTTGGCCTTGAATGGTATATTGTATTTTAAGTGCACGGGCATTTCCGCCAGTGGCAAAAAAACCAGTAACAGCTACCTAGCAGCTAATTTTCTGGTTATTTTGGTGGTTTAAAAATTTAATAACCTTAAAAACCGTCTTCTCAATGATTATTATAACTATTAGTAATCAAATAGGTCAGGCATATCCCAAAATAAAAAAAAATCCTACTTTCGTAGACGCCAAATGCGATGTTATGTTGATGTTGATGTTGTTGATGATGTTGTAATTATTTACAAGAAAATTTACTGACAAATCGTCTTGAATGTAACATTTCTTGATTCATATGACCCTTGCCGATATCCTGTTATAAAAATAATATAATAATATTATGTAGATATATGATCTTTTGCTTGTAACGTAAAGGCATATCAAAAATCAGTCCTTACCAAATTCATCATGAAATGTTATTTAGTGTGTTTTGAACGCATCCGTCCTCCATCTTAAGTGACGTGTCACGACGCGTAGACCGTCAGTGTGCCGACAACCAGCGTGGATTTTGGCTGGCTCTAATTACGGGTGTGGCGAGCGTTCCTTCACGAAAATGTAAAAAGTGTCCCCACCAACAAAAAGTTATTTATACAGGTAAGTAAATACTTTATTTTGTTCATTCCTGTGTGAAGTTATGTATAGAGGTGCAGTCAATCCCTGCACGATAGTTGGAAACAATTTAATTAGTAATTAAAGTACCTAATGTTAGAAAATGTTCAAAATGTCCTTACCCCTACTGTCCTTACCGTGTAAATTTAGAGGCTAAGGTAAGGACATTCAGGTTACGGTAATGACTGAATTTAACCAAGTTTTCTTGTTTTTTGGTCGATACGAGATATATATTTTTACCGCGGCAAAGCCTAAGATATGTATTAAGTACTTATATTATGTCACTAAACGGCTGAACTTATTTTTCTTAATATTTCGCACTCTTTATTGTTAAATCTCATTATTTCAGACATTACATTACATTTTATCGACATGCAGTTCATTTACCTAACAAAACAAAAAAAAAAGATTCGAGGTTCTCATCTGACACTTCCATAGAAAATCATAGACGAACCATAAACAATACAAAATCATTATTTCAACAATTTTAACAAGTGAAAATATTAGAAATTTCAGTTATTTTTCTCCCAAAAATATATGCAACATGAAAATTTAATTTGGAAACTTTTTCCTATTGTTGTCCTGTTGGCCTTGTCCTTGATTTTTGGTTTTAAGATTATTGCCTGTTTGTTTACAGTCAAATACAAAAAATGGCGAAGGTCATTCGGCAGCAATTAAAGAGAGGAAGAATGTTAGTAAAAGGAACCATTATGAATTTATCAAACTCAACGAGCCCGAAAAATATGCAGAATTGTTAAAAAAAGAAAGAGTGCGTTACCAAAAACGAATTGAAACCAAAAAGTTAAAAAACATTACAGATATGACAGAAAGGGAAAAGAGAGCGAAAAGAAAACAGTGGAAAATTAATAAGATAAATTATAAGCGTAAGAATAAAGAAAACTCCACGATACAAGAAGTAAATATTGAGCAAGCAGAAGAGGTTAACTAAAGTACCAACACTCAAGAAAAAGATCCACTGGAAGAGTTGAATGATAATCAAGATTCTCAAAATAACAGTCGAATGTCGAGGTTAACAAGATTAATAGCGCATCTTAAAAACAAGTTAAAGTTCCATGAACAGAAAATTCGAAGGCTTCAAAGTATTAACAAGAGATACAGATTGAAAATACATAGATTAAGAAAAGACAAAAACAATCAAAGGCTAAATAAACAGTCTAAAATACATTTTCCAACTATTATTAACGAGATTCACAAATTTTATGAAGAGGACACCAATAGAAGACAAGCAGCAGGAAGAAAAGAATTTATAACAAGACAAGGAACTAAGAATACAAAAAGGTACTTGGTGATTACTTTAAAGAACCTCTACAATAAATTTATCACCACCAGTGAAATAAAAATTAGTTACCTACTCTACCTTTTGCAAATATAGACCGTTTTGGGTCGTTTTTTCCAAAACGGAATAACCGGGAAACATGCTCATGCGAAATTCACGCCAATATAAAGTTATTGATAGAAGCTCTACATAAGGCAAAGATTATAAACGAAAAAAGTGACTATGATTTTATAAACGCTTTATGTTGTTCACCAAAAATCGACAACTGCTTGTTAAAAACGTGTGAAGGATGCAAGGTCAAAGAGATCATTTGTAATGATTTTAATAATACAGATGTCGTAGAATTCAGTTACTGGTGCAAAATTAAGGAGCCTATTCTCGGTGATATTAATAAAGTTAAAATCATAACGACGAAGAAAAATGAAAAAGCTAAACCTTTAGATCTTATTGAAAAATTACGAAACAAGTCCAACCAATTTCTGAAACATTGTTTCACTATTGAGAAACAGTATAAAGAAATGAAAAAGTTAAAAGATTTCCTGCGTAATAATGAAGCAATTATCCACATGTATTGGTCAGAAAATTATGAGCTGAAATATCACGAAGAAGTCCAATCAATGCATTTTGGCGGTAGCCGCCGTCAAGTTGCCTTGCATACTTCTGTGCTATATCTCCACGAAGAATCGACTGGCCAAAAGATAACAAAGTCTTTTTGTTCTACCAGCGCTAACCTACGTCATGATGCTGCTGCGGTGTTGGCGCACCTTAAACCTGTACTTGACTATATTTACCAGGTAAACACAAATGTCGACTCAATACATATTTTTACAGACTCTCCAAGCAGCCAATATCGAAACAATAAGATTTTTTGGATAATGACACAAATCCACAAAGATTATGCGGGATTTTTAAATAAGTTATCTTGCAATTATAGTGAGTCCGGCCATGGAAAAGGGGCTGCAGATGGAGTAGGTGCCGTCTTTAAAACAACTGCTGACAGACTCGTCAACTTTGGTCAAGATATAGGTAACTTCAACGATTTTTATAATATTTTAAAGCAAAACATTCCTAATATAAAAATAGAGGTAGTTAGTGACACCTTCATTATTGCAAAATCGAACAGCTTACCTCTTTGTTTACCAACCTTTAAAGGCACCCTTGATGTGCATCAAGTTCTATGGGATATATTCTGTGGTCAAAATCTCACATTCAGAAAATTCAGCTGTTTTATCTGCGAGGCGAATGTTCAATGCGAACATGGTGCACATCTCGGGTTCCTTAAAGTACCTGATTTCACACATTCCGTCGAGGTTAAAACATTAGCTGATGCAAGAAATATGAGTGCTAATATTCCTATTTATGTGACAGTTGCCACCACTCAAGATGATTCTCAAAATAATACTGTTTTTACTGAATTATCTAATATTGATCCTGTTACACTAAGTACGCCATCAACATCTAAATCTTACAAGGCCACCTTTTGTGATTTTGAGGAATTAGTACCGGCAAATAGCCTAAGTAGTCTAGAAATGTTAAAAGAAAACGTCGAACAACTTCCTATTGCGAGTACCAGTGGTGAATTGTTGAATTTACATGTTGCTGATTGGGTTTTAATTAAAAAGACTCGCAGAGCAATAAAGCATCAAGTAGGTCGGGTAATTGGAATATGTGGTGATAATATTTCTATATCAGTTCTTAATAAAGTACCAGGTGGATTTCGATGGTCAAAGTTACGAAAAAGGGAGGTGATTTCTATGAACTGTCTTAAAGCAGTTGTGCCTGAACCAAATATAGATGCCAAACTTAATTTTTACTTTCAAAATATTGATTTCATACATTATTAAATCTGTGTGATCTTGATCGACCAAAATTAAAAAATGTGATTACATAATACAAATTATACACACGAATATTTTTTTATTTTGTATGATTGATCATTTTGGTTTAAAGATTTTTCTACTTAAGTGTTTGAGTTGAGTGGTATCCGTTTCTATCGAGTAACTAAAACAAAAGATCATGATTATATGTGTAGTTGTATAATGGCTAAAGTTTAAATTTTATCTGTTTCTGTTACTTCATTGTAATAATTACCTATTCTGTGATTTAAGGGAATTATGTAATATTTAAAACTGATTTAAGTAATAAAAGTGTTATGTTATTACAAATTATTTACAATAATAAAGTTGATTATGTTTACCTGTTTTTAGTTTCAATTTTAGTGTTGTCATGTAGTCCAGGACCATAAAATTCTAGTTACAATTACTGTCTGAATTATAACGGTCATTATCGTGTAACGTTTGTCCTTACCGTTCGCTCAATAAATTAATTTTTATAGACCTTAGAAATAAATAAAGAAGTAATGTCAACTTTTTTGTTGATTCTCTACTAATTATACTTTTTATTTAATTTTAATATTTATTTATTTTTGTCTCTACCGGAACTTTTGAGTCTTTACCATTTTTTAAATGCAAATTAACGACGATACCGTTTGACATAATTAGCGTACACACAAAGTGGGATATTTGTGATTACTGTGATAATGCGTTACGCCTATTTTAAAAAGAAATGCCTGACACTTTTTTTCATTCCGTCAAAAAAGTGCAGTTTGGTAGAAATGACACAGTGACATTTGAATTTAAAAAAGTATTATTTCAATATTTTCACAACACTGCTACCAATCTTTCATAAATTGTATTTTTAGAGGGTTAATGTTATTTGTTGCAATGAGCCAACTTGTGCAAATTCCATAGGAATTAGTAAAACACAAAAAAAGTATCAATGGCTTCGTAAAACCGAGGTTTAACTATTAAAGTTGTGTTTTAAGTGTTAAGAGATTCTTGGTATCTGAATTAGCCACTTTGTTTATTGCTTGGAAATACGAAATAGGGAGGGATTACAAGTAAATAGCTATTAGGTAAATTGGGCTTAGACATACACTCTGTATTTCCATTTACGCTTATTCACAATGAATACATAGTTAAATAAGGAAAATAAAATCCCTATATAGGTATGTTTAGTAGTGTTTTGTTATGAATCTGTTGCCTGAATGTTGTAGGTATTTCATTTAGAAAAATCTAGGTAGATATACATATCTGTAATTACTGAAACGGAAATGCAGGAATTACAAATACAATTACTAGCAGATAGTGCCCGTTTGGTAATAATCAATATTATTTGTTAATTAAACGAAACTTGTAATTACTAATAAAATTCACTTAATTCTTCGAATACAAAACAGTTAAGTAAATTTTGGTGGTGTCTTTTTTCTCCGTGCATGCACTCTGCATTTCCATTTACACTTATTCAAAATGAATACACAGTTAAATAAGGAAAATAACATTTCTATACAGGTATATTAATGTCATAAGTAAAATATAAATAATAAAATAAAAACAAAATCAAGGTTCTGGCATCTTCCTAGCTATTTCTTTAAGTGCATCGCCAACTGACAGCAATGCTTCAGCAATCTTTGCTAGTGCTTGGGCTCCTGTCATCTCCGCTTCTACGCGTCGGTCTTCTATGTTTGAGAACCGTTCCATGTCAGAGCCATGGTTCTCACAACACGCCGGCGTGGTCTGTTTATGTTGCTTGGAAGCGGGGTGGATAATGCAGGCACTAAATTGTAAAAAAATACAATTACATAATATAAATTTGATTTTATTTGTTCATTATTCTATTGATTAAACACAATTAACACAAACTAAACTTCAGTGATAAAATAGCACAGCGGCTCAGATTAATCTCTAATTCCTATTAATGTAAATCTCTAGTATGCGATAGTGTTCCATATATATATCATTATACTTCTAAAACTAGCTCTTATAATCTTCGAATTTAATGATTGTAACTCGAATAAAACTTGACGAAAAATACTACCGTTTATTTTACTGCCACCGGGTTTTAAGACTTAGCATTATTACTACTTAGTTGTGAAACGAGAATACAACCGTAATCCGCCTCAATATCGTCTATACGGGCTACGGCCTTGCTAGTTTTTAAAAAGAATGTTTTGCATTTTTAAATAAGTTTGAAAAAACGTAATTGTGACTGTTGTTCGAGGTATGCGTGAGGGGCCAGGGTCTTCTGTTATAGATTGCATACTGTGCTGCATATCTGAGAAGACTTGACGACTGGCCTAAAAGATCTCGTATCCTGAGCCGCACTAACCTGCGATTTGGGGTATATGGTAATATAATAATTGTTATGGAAAAAATCGGATATTACATATCTGTCAAAAACTATTTTTACCTATTCAGGAAATGATTTCCCCCCTTAAATTTTGATCGCAAGCAGCGAAGTCTAGCCCGCCCATCACCGGCACTAATCTTTAATCTAAAGCCGACAATGCTGGCAAGCTCGGCTGCGCCACCTCCAGTGCGCTTCATCGAAGCAGTAGCTTGTGCGCAATCTTTTTTCAACGCCCATCAACGCTTCTCACCCCAATACTAAAAACATTCATATATTACAATAAATTGGCAATATGTTAGGTGGGAGAGCTATGCATTTCTCAGCACGAATAGACCCAACTCGACCGGAGACGCACTACTTTGCATCTCTCACTTAAGATTAATGTAGGCAACCTAATATACCTGTCCTTCCCATTATCCTCTAATCACTATAGCCTGTGCTGGAGCCGCGTGCTTTCTTGTTACCTTAGTAGTGTAAAAATATACTAAGAATCGCAAAGTAATAATCAATTTGAAAGACATTACCTTAGCCCAGTCTTGCCCGTCTTTAATAGCTCCTCCAAGAGCATTAAGTCTCGTCGCCAATGAAGCCCACTTTTCCTTGGTTTCAAGCTTTGCTTGAAAGTCCGAAGCAAACCCTTAATGCTCGGGTTTTGCTCAAGGAAGTCGACCAAACCTTCCAATTGACAATAACTTGGGCAACTTGTCATTGTTACTGAAAAGACCTGACTTTTTTTGTATAAAACAAGAATAATGGATTACACTATTTTATTTCACGTAAACATCTATCTCTTTAAAATAGTAAGGGTGCTGGTGTAAATATTTACTTACCAATTGATAGAATTATTCCAACCAAATGGGAACAAAATATATTATATTAATAGGAATGGGAACAATAAGCTACTTGTCCAATTGACCGCTTCAGAATTTTGAAATTGGAGCACTTTTATCGCTTGTGAAGTTAGCCACTTCATAGCAGGCAACGTTATAATCACATACAGCCAATAGTGTAAGTTATTTTAAGATTAAAATTAATTAATAACGTTGCAAATAATCAGCCGAACAATTGTTTTTATAGTTTTTATTTATGTCTTGTTTTTGAAACGATTTCAAAGCTTTACTCCTGGTTTATCGTAATGTGTTGAACCACTCTAACGCGGCGGTTACTTAACTAACTTCAAGTGTCGCCGTCGTCAAGGCAACGCAATTATCGGCCGATACCAATTTCAATCCAATTTGAAAATATTGTTTTCAAGGGTACCGATTATAGTGACATTGAAATTGGAATTCGATTACTATTGGATTGAAATCGGAATCGAATTCAAGAGTAAGGCCGCTGTTTTGCTGTCTTATGCAGAATAAAGCGCATTCGTACCACCGCATATCCAGCCGCGAATGGCATGATGGAGCGCGTCCATCGGCAACTAAGGGCCTCTTTAATGTGTCATGAGAGTTCGTGGATCAAAGCCCATCCCTTTGTTTTTTGGGAATGAGAACGGCTTTCAAAGAGGACATTAAAGCCACAGCTGCCGAAATGCTCTATGGCGGAACTCTACGCCTACCTGGTGAGCTATTAGTGTCTGTTTCTGGCCCTGACAAAATTGAAGACGCAACGGACTTTGTTGCTCAATTACGCCGTCGTATGTCGAATATTCGACCCGTCGGCGCCTCTCGACATTGTCAATCCACGCCCTTTATATTTAAAGAAATTGCCAACGCCACTCACGTGTTTCTAAGGGATGACGCTGTTCGGCGTCCCTTGCAAACCCCATACACCGGACCTTATCTGGTACTCAACCGCGCTGACGACGGTAAGACCCTTACCATCGATTTCAACGGCAAGCCGGTCGTGGTAAGTATCGGCAGAGTCAAAAAAGCCTTTGTTGAAAATCTTGTTTCGGATCAAACAAGGACTGTCCGGGCAAACTTTAGGCCTCCAGATGCTGCTGTACTGTCTCAGGCTGACAATATGCCTACTCAGCCTACTCCAGTTGCCGCTGTACCCCTTCCAAAGGACTCTTCTACAGACGTTGTCAGATTTAAAACTTTCGACTGTTTTTTTTTTAGTTGCTGTTTTTTTTTCTAGTTATTTTTCCTTATTACACTTTCCTTATTACACTAAAGCAGTTATGATGTAGGGTAAACCATACTATTGTTGGCACTCTGATATAAAAATCCAGATAATAAGAGACAATTTTTGTTTATTTACGGTTGCAGTATCATGTGGAGGAACGGGTGTCATGTCCCTCCAACACAAAGGGAGGATGATCATGCCTGGCGGGCCGCGGCCCCAACGGTTGATGTTGGGAAGTTGTATATAGGCTAATCGGCGAGGGAATTCTTTATATTCAGGATTAGCAATTCTTATTTAAGTAGTTACTCCGTAGTTCGGTGTGTCTTCACTAGATGGCGTTGTAGTATATTTCTGTTTTTGATAAACTTGATGGCTTTGGTATGGTCCTTGAGGTACGGTTCTTTGGCCTTGGAAAATTCGGCTTGGGTTTGGGATCTTGGGTCGTTGAAGCTGTGGCATTTTGCTTGTTCGCAGTAGTCGCATTGGTTTGTGAGTCTGCCATTACGGCTGATTCTCCCCTAGTTAAAAAGGGTAGAATATCTAATCTTCTATAGTGGCAACACTGTTGTCAGCCATTTTTATTTCACAGCTGTTTGTGAGTTTTAACGGAAATCAAGATGTCGTGATCGTGTTGATTTTATAGCAAAAAGTGTAGTACTGGAGGATAGAAGGGCACGTGAAAAAGGATCTGACTGATGCAGAAGAAAAAGAGATAGTTAAATGGATAATTGCAGCTTGTAGAAAAGGATTTCCACGGCGTGAAGAAGATGTCATGAAGAGTGTCAAACTGTATTTGGACGAACATCCCAGACCAAATAGTTTTATAGATAATACACTAGGCGATGGATGGTATAAATTATTTTTGAAGAGGCATCCTGAGCCTTCTATACGAACATCAGAGGCTGTAACTTCAGCAAGCTCAAAGTTGTCAGATAAATTGGTTTAAACAAGTAGAAGAATATCTGAAAGAAAATGATCTTTTTAATATTTTGAGTGATCCATCTAGAGTTTACAAGGGGGATGAAACTAATTTTATTTTATGCCCAAAGAATACTAAAGTTATCGCTTTAAGGGGACCCAAAAATGTGTATGAGGTAGATCACGCTCAGTCTAAATCATGTGTTACCGTAATGTTTACATTTTCGGCGGATGGTGGGACAACACCTCCTATGATTATTTACCCCTAAAAGAGAATGCGACCTGAGATTCAAAAGTCTGTGCCTAGCGAGTGGGGCATTGGCTTGTCCGATAATGGATGGATGAAGGCCGAGCTTTTTATCCAGTACATACACAATGTTCTGCATCCAGCGCTAATGAATAGGAATATCACTTTTCCAGTAATTCTTTTTTTGGATGGGCATAAAAGCCACGCAACACTTCAGCTTACTCAACTTTGTCAAAACCTTGGTATAATACTTATAGCTCTATACCCTAACGCGACACGGATTTTGCAACCAGCAGACGTAGCGGCGTTTCGCCCAATAAAAGTAATGTGGCGTAAAGCTGTTCTAGAATGACGTACAGATAACTTAACGAAATCCTTACTATAAACAGATGTTGCTTCTATATTGGAGAAGCTTTTACCTAAATTAAAGAAGACGACGTTAAAGAACGGTTTTAAAGCTTGTGGTTTATGCCCATTTAATCCAGATCAAAAAAAAAGAAAAAAATGTTAATGCCCTCTAAACCAGTACAAGAAATGTTGGATGACAACTGTTCCACAAGTCTCAACTATCAGATATTTGAAGAAATTGTTGGACCACAGCTAGTCCTAAAGATTCCAATTAAAACACAAAGAGCTGGTACAGATAATCGCTCTTTTGTTCTGACTAGTAAAGATTGGAAAGCTGTAGAACTAAAAAAACAACAAAAAAAGATGAAAGAGATACAAGAAAAAGAGAACAAACGAATAGAAAGACTAGAGAAAGCCAAAGAGAAACAATTACTCAAGGAAAAAAAAAAACAAACTGAAACTATATATAAAAAGAACAAAGCCAAAAATATAAATTTAATTAAGAAAAGTAAACCAAACTCTGATAGTATCAAACCAAAAATTTTAATCCAATCAAACGTCTTGATTAAACCTGCAAATAGAATCTCAAGTGATATTGAAGAAGAAAGAGGATATACAAGGGAATTAAAAATAGAACCTATGATCAAGGTTAAACATGCAAATATTACTAAACTAAAGGAAATAAAAAACAGACCAATTTTAAATGCAGTTGAAGCTGAAAATGAAAGAAGTTTTAAAGAATCGGAACAAGTACAAATGGTCAAAAAAGAATTAAAGAAAGGGCCTATTTTAGATGATCATGCAAATTTCAGAGATTCAAGGGAAACCAGAAAAGATAAGATAAAAGTTAAAGAAAATAGATTGAGACCAATGACAAATGAAGAACTATTAAAAGTATTAGAAGATGATTAGGTAGGCGAGTTTATTAATGGACCATGGATGGGATAAATTATTTATGTACGTAGGTTCGCCTTTTTTCGCGACAGCAAGATGTGCCTACATTAGTAGATATTAGTGTCAATCGTTATACCAAATTCACTGTACCAATAATTATACTTCACTGCCAATGATTGTGCAATAACATAGAATTAAGTTTAATTTAAGTTTTTAACACTATTTTTTTTAAATACCAATGTGTTTCATTATAATTTACGTTTATATACCTTATATCTGGTAAACATTAAATATATAAAAAATATTATCCTTACATATAAGTCACTACATATATGTTGAAGATCATCTTAGAATACCAATCATTGTACTGTTTACCCTATAATATTTTCATAAGTTGTTTCCTTTATAGTTCCTTATGAACGCGCTGTCAGTTTGACAGTTGAGAGCTGTCACTTGTGATTTTTTTGTCTCTGAATCGGAAGTGTGCCACCATTGATTGTTGATTGCTGTAAGATCGTTGATTGTAAATGATAATAAATGGTAAAGGAATTAAAATAGTAGGAAAATATAAGAAACTCTTTATTAAAATCTCCTGCAATTTATTAAACATATGATATGACGTTGACAAAATTATTGTTAAAGAGAGGAATAAAATCATTCAAAAGAAATTTAGACGTGAAACCGGTCTAATAGGGGATGTACCGAAAGCTGGGTTTGGAAATATCAATGATGGTAATACAAGTAGAAGATTTTTTTCCAATCTTGAATAAGCTGCGGAAATAACTGGATTTGATTATAATTTCAATTTTCAACTTCAAGTCATCCTTATCCTTGAAGTCATATAAAGTAGTCACAACTAGGATTCATGATTTCTCGAGCTTTTCAAGGGCTTCTCAGGTTGTCGAGAAATTTACATTTACGTACGTTTTCTCATATTATTTGGTTCCAATAACGTCAACAAATTCAGTGGTATTCCTCTCAAATAAAAGTATCAAATTAATTATAAAACTTTTAATCATAATTATAATGACAGCACCATTTTTGGATGGTAATTTAGAACTTATAAACAAAAGTAGCTTCTATTAAACCAAATAAAAAATCAAAATGAAAGAAAACGTTAATACGTTAACTTATAATTAAATTACACTCACAGCACCATTAATGTCATGTTAATTAGAATAAAAACAAATGAAAACTTTGCAAGTTCAATGGAACATCTCATGCTGAGGAGCTGAACATACAGACAGACAGATACATAACAATTAGGTCAGCTTACTCTGTCTGATGAAATATGTCTTTAGAAAAACTAAAGCATTTGTAGCTTCATCAGATAGGTGGTTTCTTATTTTATTAACTATATTTCCTGAAATTGAAAACACTCTTTCATTTTTAGTTGTGGTAGGCTTAACTGAAAGCAACGCCTTGTACATCGATTCTAAATTTGGTGACCTCTTCCCAGTCTGTTCAAAAAGTAATAACTCTTTCTTTACTATAGACTTTGACAGTGCCACTGCACTTGCCTCCTCATTTGTTTCAATGCCTTTAATTGCTTTTCCTAATTGAATTTCGAAGCTTTCGGGTTCAGGTTCTGATGGGCTTACTTCTACTACCACTCCCGACTCATTTTCGGTCAAAGTTGTGATGGCAGGGTATAAACGATTATATTCTCTTTCAGCGTATCCTTTAAAAAATGTCTTATTGTTATCAATGAAGTAGTTACTTTTATTGTGCATGAAATTGTCAGGGCTGTTCAAGTATTTTAGCAGCGATATTAGAGACGTATTACGGCGCTCTGATATTTTCAACTTAAGACTGTAGTCCCTAAGCGTCAGAACTCGAGATTTAACACCCACATTAACATTTTACATGCACACAGACTCAACGAGTACTATAAGTATACTACCCTGGACACTGATCAATCTACGATCGATATTCATCACCTCTTCGTCTTTGTAGATTATTAATAGATGTCACAAAAAACATGCAATGTATCCTAACGCACCGCGACACACGCACGCTTTCGGGCCCGTAGTGCCTAGGGTGTAGTGCGTAGTGGGTAAGCCCGTACTACGCCAGCCGGCGACAAAGGATGTGGTCCAAGTGTACGCTTTGTGAATATTATGTTAAAACTATTAGTTTTTATGGTGAAATCTAAGAAATTGTCAAGTTAATATGCTGAGTAATATGGGAAATGTGGGTATCATAGATGATATTTTATTTCTTATTTATTTAATTATAATAAACACAGGTATTTAATCAAAGTATTCTTTATTTTATGAAATTATTATTTTTTGTTTGAAATCGTCTCTTGTGTAGACTCTTAAAGTTAAACACAATTACAACAACCTGTTTTGTCAAATATTTTACAATTTACATCTATAAATTAATAAATTAAAACAGCAGTTCCAAAATTTGTTTTATTTACAATTTAAACTATTTTATAATATTTTCAACAAAAATTAAAAATTAACAAAAATCAACATTAAATAAAACAATTAAAAAAATGACAAAACAAAAAACGATGAGTTAATAATTCTGAATTGGCGTTATAATACTTGATATATTAGGTTTTTAAATGTGACGTCACGAAACTTAGGACCCCTCCCAGCCCTTTCAACATAATGTCACATTGGGTTGACCTTCTCCTCCTTTATGTGTGACATAATTTATAAATGAAAAGTGAAACAAACTTTTTAAATAACCAATTTTTTTTGGTAATTTTTTTTCATAATCTTTTTTTTTAGTTATTTCTAGTAAATTTTCGCATTTTCGTTTAATTTGCTTCGCGTATAGCTTCTCTTTGCCTTATAGCCTCTATCAAATAAATGGGGTCTCTAACCTCCATTTTTCTATCTAGCCTAGAGTCTATTATTTCAGGGACCATACAATCAAGATAAAACATTTTAAATATCTCTTTCATTTTATTTTGACAGAAGTTATCATCTTTCTTTAATTTTTCTACTTTCATGTCCACGTTGGTCCATACCATAAAAATACATTCATTTTTCTGAGTGATGTGTAGCTGCCCCTGAATTTGATAGTACCAGTCGTGATTAGTGTTTATTGTAAGGTCTCCTGTTGGATTGCGTTTCCAGAAGTTATTTTTTTTCTTTTTGACACCGTCATCAATAGCCATATTGGCACACGAATATGGATATTTTACTTCAACAATTTTGTCTTCATCTAATAACCCGTCAGGGCTAGCTCCTAGATAGGGTACTTTTTTCGTCTACAAATAATCCGCATTTTTTATGTTACAGGGGGAACCGTCAATACTACTAAAAAAAACTGTAAGTTGTTCCAGCGCAATATTTTCGTGGTCTTTGTCATGTTGTATATATTTGACATTTTCTAAATTCGCTCCACGAAGCAAATTTTTTACAAGAGGTCCACATTTTACAAGACCTTCTTTGCAAACTTTCCCGAAACTTGATGCTGTCAGACGCTGTCTTCTTTCTTGCACCCATTCCGTGGAGTCTGATTGCAAGACTGTCCTTCTTTCCAGATCATTTCTTTCAACTTCTGTTAGTTTAAGTTTATTGAGATGTTCGTTTTTTGCAAATTCAAAATCGATTTTATTTAAATTTGGTTTTTAGCAAAAATAACCGTAGTCTTTGTCTATATTATTCTCTGGTTTTTGAAGAGTGATGTTGCGACTGGGTTTGGATTTTGGACGCATTTTCTTCTTTTTTAACTCAAGACGGCGCATGAGAATTGTATTGGGTTTTTTGTGTATTACTTTATCGTAAAGATTAATTGTTGGCTGCTTCATGTTAAATGCCACAACGGACGTTGCACAACGAGCCAAATAGGATTGTCTACTTGAATAGTTTATCCGTTTTCCTCCCACAAATTTAGCTATACTTCGGCGATATTGCTGTTTACGCTGTAAATAAAGATTTTAGAATTATTAACTAACCTTGAAACTAGTTTCGTAATTGCATTGTATAATGTGCAGGTTTTCATTTCTGGCACATTTTTGTCAACAATCTCACAATTTGTGTCTCTATTCACATGTTTGCAATAGTATGGCTTACATGCTGAGTGGTTACCAAAAACGTGATTTGGTCCATTAAGTAAATCTATTTTGAGATCGGTTATTTTTTCATCGAAAGTTTTTTCCTTTTTAGAATTATTGTAGTTGACGGCACTAGTTACTGAACGTCTTAATCGTAAAATATTTTGGTCCAAAACTTTGCGTAAATGCAACGGGTGCCTCGTAGTATTTTTCGTAAGTTCATCCAACTTTGTGCAGTAGTTGCGAAGTAAATGGTTGGTGCATTCTATTTTCTCCACAATTAAACTACGATAAGGATTAGCATCTAGTATACTTTTGTAGGTACTGGAATCTCCATCAGCAATTAATTTGGAGTATATGATACCATACATTTCCATGGAACTTTTGAAACCTTCTGTAATTGCAAGAGCCTCCATTCCACTTGAGGAACCACTATAGTTTCTAAAGCAAACGTGATCTGGGCAAGAAGTATTTCGATTCGCTGCTCTAGCACAGATCATGCAGTACTTATTTTTTACATATATAGGAATTTCTTTGTTCTGTATCCAATAATTGCAGCACCCGATAAGGCTGTATAGTTTTTTCTATAGGATCTTTTAGACCAGCACGCGTCTGCCACTACCGTAATCATTGGTACTCCGTTAGCGTCTAGGTCACCGTTTTGTATGGCTAAATCGTATCCTTCCTTTGCAGCTTCTTCCATGCTCTTCTGTTTTGCTAAGTTCACAAACCTTGGTGTGACATTTGACGTAAAGATTTTTTGACATGCATGGTATCCCTAGAGAAGCTGATACCTGTTCTAACGCTACATAACCAGCGCCTATTGACATAAAACTAGACACTGCTGTTTCGTTAAGGTTGAGATCTTTACTGTTTTTATTTAATTTACAATTCATTACATGTAACTCGATATTACACATTTTGCAGAGAAAAGTGAATGTGGAATAGAAACCTTTTTTTTGTTCTTTTATAAGTTGTAAATGGCTGAAATTACAACCAAGAGGTGAATTGTGTTTGGCGATTTTGTGCAACTCCTCATAAAAGTACATGAAGTCAATCACTCTGCGCCCATCTACTTTAAACTCTTCGTTATCTTGTGCTTCTTCAATAAAAAGCTGTGGAGTATTCCGTTCAGACGATGTCTGAAATGATATTATTGAATTACTTTGTGATCTTCTTTAAATTGTATAAAATGAAGTTGTTTTTCGTTCCTATTAGACTACTAGATTTTTTGGTCAAATAAGTTAGCAGTACTTACATCTGCCGAAGGCATAAAATCGCGTGTGTTTTGAATTTCCTGAAATGGATCTCGCGTTGCTTCATCAATGACAAGTTCTGAGATTTTTTTATCCGACGTTGCCTGAAATGTATATATACTCGTAGTATTACTTAGTAATCTTTTGAATATTCGATCGTAGTACTCTTTTTAGGTGAAGTGGATATTTTGAACTCCACTTACAGCTACAGTGCATGTATCGTCTTTCAAGTTTTTGCTTTCCTGTATTGAAACTTCTTTTAACCTGTAACAATTATTATTACTGTATTTTATTTTATATATTTGTAAACACAGGTTTACCCTAGTTCAGGCAGGCAGCGACTAAAGTTTTTTAACAAAATCTTAATATCTTTATGTGGAGAAAATCATACAATATGAATCATACTACACAGTCATAAGAATAAAATAACACTACTATAAATTTACGGTATTGTAATTTAGTCTAATTATTGTCTAAGATCTATGTTAAACTGAAATGTCCTACACTGTAATATTTATATTGGTCAAATAAAAAAGAAAAAATATTATAAATTTTTTTTTTATTAAAAAAACAAATAAATTTTTATTCATCTGGAAATATCTTTACATAATACATTTTTCACTAACTTATCCATTTTAACACGTTTTTATTAGATTGGCATGTTGACCGGCCTGTTGGTCTAGTGATTAGTGACCCTGACTGCTAAGCCGTAGGTCGTGGGTTCGATTCCCACCCAGGACAAATATTGTGTAATAAGCACTATCATTTGTTCTGTGTCTGGGTGTAATTTATCTATTCTATGTATGTATTTAGAACTATATAAGTATGTTTATAAATAGTCTGGTTACCATAGTACAGGCTCTGCCTAGTTTGGGATCAGACTGCCGTGTGTGAGATGTGTGAAGTGCGAAGTTATATGTGTGTAACTGAATCTTTGAACGTGATTCTGACCCACTTCAAAACGTCAAAATAAATTTCGCACACTTATGAAGCACTTGGTGCAACATTGTTGCACATCACTATGAATGAATACCTAGTATCATGACAGTGCAACACTATTGGCTGTCAGTTTCTCGTGTCTATGACATTCATTCTTTTAGCTTGCTACAAAATGGATACTGTAACAATTGGTGATTGTATATAAAGTTAAATATAAATCTTATTTCTGTGAGACACATACGGCAGTTTTATTGACAACAACACGTAAAATAAACTGGTGAACTGGCCACCGTGATTTCGGGCCTTACGACACTAAAGTGGTGACTCCCTCGTGCCGTCGTGTCGAGTTCCCGCCGGATTTGCATAACTACGTTTCAAACTGGACTTCGTGATCGAGTACTGCAGCCTCGACCGATAATTTCCATCTATCCTGCGTTTATTGCAACATATCCAAGCGGCAACACCCACGATCAACGGTTTTCGAAACTATTTCAACCAACGCACGCCACCCTAACCAGAAAAAACCGGTTTGCCTCGGCGTGCCGCACAGTGTACCGCGTAGAACATGCTAGGTGGACAAAATTCATGTTATCATTTCCAGGAAATCTTATTTGCAAAACGTAAACAATACCCCCAAACCCCGAATTCCAAGAAAATGTTGTTCGTCAAATTCGCAAGTGGTGAGTCATAAGGGTCAGAAGTCAGGTAATGAGCTTAATGCAACCCTTTCAATCAATCAGTTGCAATTTAGCGATACTTTCGTGCACATCTCATAGTGGCATGTTGTAGTATTGTGAAAGTTTTTGTGATGGATATTAATACTGAGGGTAAGTAATATTTTTTAATGTATTTTTTTAATCATAATCTATTAATTTGAATTTTTAGTATTTTTTTTAAATATGCCTATACGTTTTAGCGTATTTTTTTTATAAAAAAAACTTTGAAAGGTCAGAATATACAGACATTCACCTCTATCCGGGCTAGTTTTTAGATATTACGCAGAAATAACTTTATTCTTCGTAAAAATACACATATTGTTTAGCACACTTTAGTACAACATGTTTTTTTTTTCTTTTTTTTTTAAGAAAACGTTTACTCTATTTCAAGGGTAGCCTTTCTTGAGGAGTGGTTGAAACACACGAAGAATGAAAAAAACTCGCGTGTATATGATCTTTAACGCGCTTAAACTTTCTTCAAAATTTCACTTTGGTGACATTACTGAAAGCAGCCAAAAAGAAATAAAGTTGAAGATATCTAACTTGTCCAATAAGATTGGTGCCAAATGGTTGGCTTCAGGAAAGTCGAAGGAGCGTTTTTTAATTAAAAATAAGACTTGGTTGGATGAAGCAGACATACAGTTTACTGTGAGTTCTTTTGCGCCACAACCTTCGACATCAATTGAGGCTGTGACACCTGCAGGGAGGCCTCTCAAAGATTTCGAGAAATCGTCGTTTAAGACGAAGAAACGTCGCGTCGTGGATCTCGTAGAATCTCGAAGTGTCAGTGAATTGGTGACTGCTGCCGAAATTGCTGTGCGTTTAGCAGGGCAAAGGAAAATTGCCAATGTGATTAGAGACATTAGTGAGAGCCGCAGATAATACTATTAAGTCTAAAAATACCTTTGAAATTTAAGAACGAGATGGGACTTATTGTAGATAAGCCAAAGCCAGGATTTGGTTCTTCAAATGATGGAAATACAGCCCGTCGCTTTTTTATGAACGCTGAGTGGTGGTTGGCTGGTGTTTCTGTGTGGTACTCCGCAATCAAGACGGATTTTGCCTAAAATTGTGTTCTCCGTGCTGAAATACGTAAAGTTTATCGCAATTCCAGTGAAAATGCCTATATTTCATCTCCGAAGATTTTATTTAAAATAGGATCCAACGGGTTGACAACGCCATCTATCATCCAGTAGCGCAATTTTTTCATTACGCTACTTGCCGTCGAGAAGTGATACTTTCAATCGATTTGAGATGTGCGCTTGCGTTATTTTTACGTTCTTTTTATAGTTTTATAGTTCGTTTATAGTAAAAAACGTCAACAAACTTTTCTCCAATTGTAATATTTTGTGTATATTATAAGTCTAGTTTAATTTACTTATTAGTAATTAGTTTTATAGTGCTACAAGTTCTATTGTATTTTTCGGTAAGTTTTTGTCACTATTTCACACAACTAATCTGCAACTTTGCTTTTCTTACAAATGTAAACAAAGTGCTACGTTATTGCCTTTTATATTTTTGTCCACTTTTACTGCTCTGCTTCTACTGGTCTTTAACTATGCAACCAGAAAGCATGTATGCAGGGTGTATAGCTTGACTCAATTAGAAATTTTTCTATTCTTTTGTACCAACATAAATTTTGCTAAAATATTTTAACTTATTCTAACATTGTGTAAAGTGTGTTCTTTGTACCTTAATATTAATTTTATTATTTTATTTTTTTAACATCACTTATACCTGTAAGAACTGCTGGTAAAAAAAGTCTTTTCATCCTTTGATTGATTTCAATCTTGTAAAATATTTTATTTAAAACCATAACCTTGTAAAATATTTTGTTTATATTTAAGCTTCATTTTATTTTTTTCTGTTAATGTTTAAGTTGTAACTTATTGGTTATTGAACATTTACATTGTCTGCTTTGTATAGTTACCTAATATTTGCATTTTAGTGTGTCAGTTTTGCTACAGCACCCCTTTTAAATATTTCTTGCCTGGTTTTGTTCGCACTGCACACCTGTTGGTCTTTGGTATTTTATCTTTTAGCCATGGCTGAACATTTACAGGAACAAATCCTACAGCTGCAAGCCGAGAAAGCTGCTCTCCTGCTTCGGCTTGAGCAAGAAAATAAGGCAGAGGTATGTAAGGTGTCCGTGAAATTGCCTCCGTTCTGGCCTAACAAACCTGCAGTATGGTTTGCCCAGGTCGAGGCACAATTTCAACTTTCTGGCATCACAGCCGATAACACAATGTTTAATTATGTTATCTCGCAACTGGACCAGAAACTGGCTGGTGAAGTGGAGGATATTATAACAGCGCCTCCGAGTCAAGGCTCTAAGTATACAAAATTAAAGGAAGAACTCATAAGGCGACTTTCCTTGTCACAGGAGCAACGAGTTCGCCAACTTATTGGTGAGGAAGAGCTCGGTGACAGACGACCGTCCCAGTTTCTTCGACACCTACGCTCATTGTCTGGCAACGTTTTGTCAGATGAAAACATTTTGCGACAACTGTGGCTTCGCTGTCTGCCTCGACAGGTTCAAGCCATTTTGGCATCTCAATTGGATCTCGACCTTAATAAACTTGTGGATTTGGCTGACAAGGTCATGGAAATAGCAAGCCCCAATCAAATTTACTCTTGCGCTGCCCCATCCACTTCATCATCAGTCCTGGAAACGTTGGTTGAGCGAGTGGAACAATTAGGCAAACAAGTTGCTTCCCTGTCCACAAAAAATAAGCCTGGACGTTCACGCAGTCGTTCCAGGGCGTCTTCTAGCCGCTCTCGCACCTCCACACCTGGTGCATCAAACAAGGTATGCTGGTACCATAAAAAGTCCTTTTGCATTAACTCGGATTTTGTACCTGCTCTCACGACGACCCTTGTATTCCCTCGGACTAGTAGCTGCTTTCACGACGACCCTTTTTTGCTCATCTACGGACACCGATTACTATTGTCATGAACACCGACGATAAGAAATAAAAACAGAAGCCCTACAGTGAATTTGAAAAACAACTGCTTATGCAGTTGGTAACGACGAAAATGGACATAGTGGAGAATCGCAAGACCGATGGTACATCCCAAAAAAAGAAGACAGAAGCCTGGGAGGATATTGCATGCCACTACAATAACTCGCCTAACGTATCCCAGCGAGTAAGTTAAAATTCTAGAGAATAAAGTAGTAAATAACATATCCACCTACTTGGGATTTTAATAACCTCATTCTCTCTTTACAGTATCTGTTTTATTTTTAGGCGAATGCTGCTCAACTTAAAAAAATGTGGCAAAATCTAAAAACGAAGGCCAGAGATGCTAAAACTTTAGAAGCCCTAAAAAAATGGACTGGTGGACCTGCACCTCCGGCTATAGGATCCGAAGAGACCCAGTTCCTTTCTATATTACCAACTATAATGCCAACAATTGAAGTTGAGATAGATAGTGATATAATCCAATCAAGCACCTCGCAATTTAGTAAGTACTCACTAATAATTTATATTTATTAGTTGTTCATTTTGTTACTATAAATTAAATGTCCAGGCATTGTAACATACTAGATATTCCCGTTGGTGTGGGAATTTCTTGTTCATGTGGGGTGAAACATACCCTATGTGATGTTCCAAACTATAATCTAGCCGTGCCAAATTTCAGTAAGATTTGTCTAGCCATGCATCAGTTATAAATATGTAGTACTAACAACTTTGTTTTAATTACATATACATACACATACAGCATCTAGTTATTTGTAAGTAATGATATCTTATTTGGTTTCAGGTGAAACAAATGATGATGACGGTGTTTACTGGCAAAACAAAAAAAATAGAATGATGGACATGGAAGTTCGTGTCCTCGGAGAAGAGGTACAAGATATTAATACTCTACCGGGTTGTTCTCTCCAGGGACTTACAATGCCCACAACCCCGGAACTAGCACCAGCTCCAGCAAAGAAAATAAAACCGGAACAATCTCTGGAGGATTTAAAAAAGGAACTTGTGAAAAAAGAAATTGAAAAAGTTACTAAACAGATAGACCAAGATCAGGAAAAACATGCAGTAGAACTGAAAATATTAAAATTAAAAAGAGATTTGTTGAAGAAAGAATTAAATAAAAACTAAGAACTTAATATTATGATTTTTATTTCTTTATCAATTATAAGTTTCTACGATGGATTGTCGAAAAGCTAATCCTGCAGCTGATGACATTCTTGAATTTAACTGCACTTCATCAATTTGCTGTGCATCTTCTTCTACAATTGAGTAATTGTCTCTGCTTCTTATTGCAATATTGTGAAGCACTGCACAAGCAACAATTATATTGCACACATTTGTTAATTTGTTACTGAGGCCCAATTGCAGACATGAGCACCTTTTCTTCCAGACACCAAAAAATCTTTCTATTATGTTCCTTTGTACATAATTGTAATTATTTTCCGCACGTCTTGTTGGTTGTATCAAGGGTGTTAAAATAAATGGCATGGATGGGTATCCACTATCACCTACCAAGACTCCCTGCAATTGTCCACTAGCCAAACGTGCATGAACACGGCTATTTCTAAATATCCGACTATCATGAGCGCTTCCAGGCCATCGTGCAACAAGGTCATAAATTTCCATATCGGGACATACAACGGCTTGGACATTAACGGAAAAATAAGATTTTCTATTTCTGTATGCTTCAGAGTGAGTTATACCTCTTGGTCTATTTATTTTAATGTGGGTGCAATCTATTGCTCCAATTATATTATTAAGTCCATGTAGTTGGTTGTTTCTACCCAACTCTTCAAATTTTTGTTTGACATTTTGTAGCTGGTTTGGGAATTGAATAAATTGTGGTAAAAGTTGACTTAATGCTCTGGAAACTTTATTTATGATGATGCACACTGTAGATTGGCTCAAGCCTAATAAATCTCCACAAACAGTCTGAAACAGAAAAGTTATTTAAAAATACTACTGGGACAGACAATAGACCAAGAAATAAATTTCATATAGCTAGGACTTATTGCTCCTATACTGATCTGATGCAAAACTGTGGTGAAAAATAGTAAACATTCTAAAAGAATCTAAAAAGAAAGCTGATTTATTTTTATCTATATATTAATGAATATATAGAAATGAATATTACAAAGAGGAAAGATTTGATTGTTTGTTTGCTTTGAATAGGCTCCGGAACTACTGAACTGATTAGAATATTTTTTCACCATTAGAAAGCTAAATCATCCCCGAGTAAAATAGGTTATATATCTGTGGTTGTTGTTGTACCGTGGGTAACACCACGGGGCTCTAACCTACTAAAGACACAAGAAAAAAGTTAACGGTCATGGCAGGTGGTATGACATGATCTGATTGAGGTAAAGATCTATGGAGTAAGTGTACAGTCTTACGAATCTAGTATAAAATGAGACAACTATAAAATCGTACCTGATAAGTTCCAGTAGCATAGAACCTTAATGCAATGAGTATTTGTATTTCTGGTGTTATTGGCAATCCTGTATTATCATAGTGGTTCAGTTTGTCAGCAATTAGTGGCAAAATAACATTTTTCACCGTATTTTTTGTAAATCGATATCTCTTTTTAAATTGATCGTCGCACAAATTATATGGATCTTGATTATATTCATGGCGAATATAAGCTTTAGGCATACGAACATTATCCAGTGCCGATGTGCCGATTCTATCTATTCTAGACAGAACATTTTCAATTCTATCGATGTTCTCCATCGTTAACCAAAACCAAATCCGCAAGAAAAGTATATAAAGTCCGTGAAATATGCCAGAGTCAATGTGAAAAGATGGTTCGATTGTCCAGGAAGAAAAGCCGTAATCTAGTTCGAAAGCGTTGTAACAGAAGTCCGTAAGGGTGTGCCAGGGTCAAGATAAAAAGTTAATACAAGAAATTGATATATTTGCGAACGAACTCGAGACGAGACAACCTCAAATATTGTTATGACATTTGACAAGTCAAATATACGTACGTTTTGTTTTACTTGTACATGTGTTATTTTTGCCTTTTATCACTTAAAATCAATGAAAACTAAAGGTGTTAATTGATTGAAATACAATTATATGATAAAATTTATAAGATTACTAATTTTAGGTTATTACAGCTATTTTAAAAATAATATATTTTTGAAATACCAAGAATTTAAATTAATATGCTATGCAAATCGAAACGTTTAAAAAAATTTCCTGAGCTCTTGCTTAGCATACACTCAGTAAATTCTTAGCCCAAGAGGACTATAAATTCGAATGCTAAGATTACACTGAGCAGGAACTTAAGTAAGTTTAGCGTAAGCAAAGTCTGAGCAAAGTCTAAGTACGCTTTATAAATTTCAGCCTTAGTGTGGAAAGTAAAGAATATGGACATAGTCCAAAATGCTTTAAAGTTTGCTGGAAACACTGAGTATTCACAAGAAATTATGAACTTAGACACTCCTTTTCAGTTTTTTTCTTATTTTTTCGGTGAAGAAATTTTGAGATTTCTAGTGGACGAGTCAAATAAATATGCCTTCCTTCCTTCAAAACCTTTTCCTTGGTCTCCGGAATTGCTAGAAAAGTTTGAGGCATGTAAGAAGAGTCTGTCCGATGCAACGCTTCTACAGCATCCTGTCAACGATGCACCGCTGGGTCTTTTTAAGGACGCTTCCAGCGTACATGTAGGCTCTTGCTTACAGCAACGAATCGATGGACAGTGGTTTCTTCTTGCATTTTTTAGCAAGAAACTAACCCCGCAACAGTCTCAGTGGCCTGCTTACCATCGAGAACTTTTGGCGGTGTACGAAAGCGTACAGCACTTTCGCCATACTCTTCAGGTCCAACACGCCACTATTTATACGGATCATAAACCGCTGCTGTACGCCTTCGTACAGCGTCGAGAAAAGCTCGCGCCTGCACAGCTAAACCAGCTGTCCTTTATATCGACTGACATAAGATATATTAAAGGCGAAGACAATGTCGTTGCAGATGCTATGTCCCGTATTGACGCAATCTCATAAGAACAGGAATATGAGACTCTCGCGAAGTCACAAGAGACAGACGACGAACTGTCAAAACTCATGACAAACTGTTCTTCAAGCCTTAAACTGACCAAAGTTGTAATACCTGGCACTGACCATTCTCTGATTTGCGACCTCTCAACGGGCAAGCCCCGTCCCTACGTTACTCCGGATTTTCGCCAAGCAATCTTTGCCAAGCTCCATGGATTAAGCCGTCCTGGTGCTCGGGCTACTACTCGCCTTGTGACCGATCGATATGTCTGGCCCTTCATCAACAAGGACTGCCGAGTTTGGTCCCGATCTTGCCAAGCGTGTCAGCGCAGCAAGATTACGCGCCATAACTTTGCACCTCTGGGCACCTTCGAAACACCATCTGGCCGTTTCATGCACGTACACACGGACATCGTTGTTCTGTTACCGGTTTGTTCCGAGTATCGATTCTGCCTGACGGCAATTGATAGGGTTCTTAGATGGCCCGAAGTTTGGCCCATGTATACCGCTACGGCAGAGGAAGTTGCTGACACCTTCACAAGGTAGTGGGTCCCTCGATTCGGCGTGCCTTCGCTAATAACAACCGACCGAGGAGCTCAATTTGAGTCTGATTTGTTTCGCCGTCTTATGCAGAACTTTGCCACCAAACGCATTCGTACCACTGCATATCATCCGGCCGCGAACGGCATGATAGAGCGCGTCCATCGGCAACTTAAGGCCTCTTTAATGTGTCACGAGAATTCGTGGATCAAAGCCCTTCCCTTTGTCCTTTTGGGAATGAGAACGGCTTTCTAAGAGGACCTTAAGGCCACAGCCGCCGAAATGCTCTATGGCGAAACTCTACGCCTGCCTGGTGAGCTGTTAGTGTCTGTTCCTGGCCCTGACAAAATTGAAGACGCATCAGACTTTGTTGCTCAATTGCGCCGTCGCATGTCGAATGTTCGACCCGTCGGTGCCTCTCGACATTGCCAATCCATGCCTTTCATATTTAAAGACATTGCCAATACCACTCACGTGTTTCTAAGGGATGACGCTGTTCGGCGTCCCTTTCAACCCCCATACACCGGACCTTATCTGGTACTCAACCGCGCTGACGACGGTAAGACCCTTACCATCAATTTCAAAGGTAAGCCGGTCGTGGTAAGTCTCGACAGAGTCAAACCAGCATTTGTTGAAAATGTAGTTTTGGATCAAACTAGGACTGACCAGGAAAACCTTAAGCCTCCAGAAGCTGCTGTACTGCCTCAGGCTGACAATATGCCTACTGAGCCTGCTTCAGCCGCCGCTGTACCCAAGAACTCTTCTACATCGACTCAGCAAACTCCTTATGTTACCCGATCCGGCAGGCGTGTTAGATTTAAAACTTTCGACTGTTTTTTTTTTAGTTAAATTTGTTTTTTTTTTTGTTATTTTTGTCCGTGGGGGGGTGGTGTGGCAACATTGTTGCACATCACTATGAATGAAATACCTAGTATCATGACAGTGCAACACTATTGGCTGTCAGTTTCTCGTGTCTATGACATTAATTCTTTTAGCTTGCTACAAAATGGATACTGTAACAATTGGTAATTGTATATAAAGTTAAATAATAAATCTTATTTCTGTGAGACACATACGGCAGTTTTATTGACAACAACACGTAAAATAAACTGGTGAACTGGCCACCGTGATTTCGGGCCTTACGAAGCTAAACACTGATGCCAATACAATAGTTTGATAAATTTGGCAGATTTTACTGACTTCAGGATTAACAGCTTTTTCCATACATAAAAATACGGTAGTGTCTTTTGCCACATACTAAGAGGCGTGTGCTGAAGCGTATGTAATTTTCTTACTTGTTTTATCTTCATTCCATTTTTGTGAGCTATCTAAATCTATCAAATGCCTTTTTGATTGCATTTTTTAATTTCAAGAAACGTTCAATCATTGTCAGCATTGAGTTCTGACATCGAGTAACAAAACTAGTTCTACTCCGAATTCGGCTACTACATGTTTCTGCAGTGTGATTGATTTTAGAGGACTCTTTCTGAAAAATCTTATAATCGATCGGGTCTCAGTCATTACATTGTTTATGTCATCAATTATTTGCGGTCTAGGTTCTTCATTAGATATATAAGATTCATCATCGTTATCAGTGCTGCTGGTTTCATAGGAGCTGCTGTGTTCGTCATCGTTATGCAAGGCATTCCTAGCGGCTGTAACTTCTGACTGATTTTTGCAAAATGTGTCAAGAATAGCTAAATGGATGGCATGATTTACACATAGAACCATTTCACAGGGGCCTTCTCTGGCAAATTTTTTCATTACGTTTGGCCCATCGCTTGTTACGGCAACAACATCACTCTCCAATTTCACTCCAAAATGTTTCAAGCGTTCCTCCACTATTTGTCTTACTTCAACGGCCCCACATTTACCGGGTATATAGACTAAAACCAAATTATAATGTGTTGTTTCTGTGGTGTGACAAATAATACTAAAATAGCGTTTGTTACGTATGCTTGTCCACTCGTCAATACTCACACTTAGCCGGTTACCTGAAAAACAAATATCTGAAAGTTCTTTTATTATTTCTTTTTCCTTATCCTCATAGTATTTTAGTATTAGATTCATAACATCATTAACACACATGGGCAGTTTATATCTTTAGCAGAAAGTGAATCACGAATGAATTCACTTTTTGTGATTCCATTTATGGTAAAGCCGTCTTTTGCAGTCAGCCTCGCCAATATTTCACCCAATGATTGTATCGGTGGAGTTTTGAAGTTTAGTTTCTGGTGCTGCATACTTTCATACCCAGGCCTGCTTTTTTCCGGTGCACTCACACCTGAACTTATAGATGCTTCAGATTCGGATTCTTCTTGGGTCCCGCATTTAGTAATATTGATTTTGTGCACATTTGTTAAATGTCTCACCAACCCGCTAGTATTTGAACCTTTGCAAGCAATGGTTTTTGGGCACTTTAGGCATTGCGCATTTGCAGATTCCTTATTTTTTTGAAATATTTCTATACTTTTGATGCTTCCATCTTTACTGTTATAGTGACGTTTCGGTAAAATCTATAACAAACGCAATTCAAATTAATAATTAGCCCTTGGAGTAATATGTGATACACACACACACATCACACAACTGGCAATATTCGTCTCACAAATTTAAAATGACACATTAATTAATTTCAAATTACTTACATAAGAAAAACATATCAGAATAATTAAAAACTAAGCTTGTGTGTTGTTGTTTTACAAAAATAGGAAATATAATTAGATTAAGTAGTATAATTATAATATAATTAATGTATCGTTAGTTATTTTATGTATTAAAGTTTGACTAAAAAATAATAGAAAAGAACAGATAGGTACTCGTACCTAGTAAAATTTAAGATCATATTTAGATTATATTATTGATATAAATAAAAGTGAAAAGACTTACCTGTTTGATTTCAATTTATTACGTAATCTGTGAAACACTCACTACGTAAACTATACTTGGCTAGAGTCAAAGCACGAATAAACGTGTAAAAACGACGCCACAGAGCGCTTGCAGCGAGATCAAAGGGTGCCGCTGCGCTTTGGCCCGCGCCGCCACGCAACACAACAAACGGCGATTAAATTTCTATATAGATACATAATTTCTCGAGTTCTCGACTATCCTCGAGCTTGATTCAAAATCTGCAACTCTGAAGCTTATGAAATTGGATAGTACTGGATCCTTTGCTCAGTCATCTGAGAAAGTGCTCGAAGCATCATATGAATTGTCGCTACTCATTGCAAAGGCCAAAAAAAGTCATACCATCGGAGAAACACTCGTCAAACCCTGCTTACTGAAAGCTGCTGATATCATTCTTGGACCAGAAACTAAACAAAAAAATTCACAAATACCTCTTTCTGACAACACTGTTAAACGTCGCATTGATGATATGGCTGAAGATATAAAAAATCAGGTAGTTAAGGCCGTGAAAGAATCATGTTTTTTTGCAATACAGTTGGAGTACAGATGTTGCGCAATGTTGTCAACTGCTAGTTTCAACTTCGAAAGCAATTGATATAATGACAGCAATCTCTGAATTCTTTGATAAACATGAACTGTCATGGAAAAAGTTGATAGGCGTATGCACAGACGGCGCTCCGGCAATGCTTGGATCTAGTTCAGGCTTCGTACAGTTCGTCAAAGAAAAAAATCCCAACGTAATTACTATTCACTGTTTTATACACCGTCAAGCCTTGGCAGCTAAAACACTTCCAAACGAACTCTATGACGTCTTAAAATTATGCATTAAAATTGTAAATTATATTAAAAAGAGTGCGGCTTTTTGCGGCTCTCTGTGAAGATTTGGGCACAGAACACAAGACATTGTTATTTCATTAAGAAGTGCGCTGGCTTTCAAAAGGAAATATGTTGACAAGATTGTTTGAACTGCGAGATGAAGTCATTCAGTTTTTAGACATTCAAAAAACAAACTGAATTGTTTGTGGAATTTAAAAAACCATGGGTCCAAGTAATATTTGCTTATTTATCAGATAATTTTGATTCATTGAACACTTTAAAATTGAAATTACAAGGCAGAGACTCGAACATAATTTATCATCGGAATGCTATCACAGCATACACTGAAAAGTTGCAACTGTGGAAACGAAAAATGTTGGCGTCTAACTATTCCTGCTTTCCTAAATTATTTGCGATCACAGAAGAAACGTGCTTTAAGGAGATTTTGGATGCAATAGATACCAAGAATCAAATATCAAACATTTGCAGCACCTCACGGACGAATTCAAGCTCTACTTTCCCGACTCGTGCAATAATATTATGTACCGATTAGCGAGCGATCCTATTCACGTCGGCATAGACATGCTGCCAGATACATTACAAGAGCAAGCATTATAAATCAAAAATGATTCAGCTGCCCGATATGATTTTGAGAAGATGGATAAGGCACTATTTTTGGTTAAATATCTCAAAGTTTATCCCAGCACCGCAGAGCAGGCACTAAAATTGTTTTTACCTTTTTCAAGCACTTATTTGTGCGAAAAAGCATTTTCAGCAGTTGTAGCAATAAAAACAAAGATATTGCTAGTGATCTACGTGGCGAGGCGTGATACTTATAAGTTTGGGCACCCCTGCTCTACACTATTACTCAGCAGCTGCCTACAAATATCTAAGGCAGGTATTTAATGGATCCTTGCCACATCCTCGTGTCATAGGAAAATGGTACGAGAACAACTCAGGTGAACCTGCCTTTAATAAACAAGCGCTAGATGTTTTGGAAAAAAATATAAGCACAGTGGCCAACGAATACTGTGTACATTAGTTGCGGATGAAATGGCTCTTCGTCACCAAACTAGGTGGACTGGAAAGAAGACTGCAGGTGTTGTAGACTTTGGTGCCGGTTCAGCAATTTCGTGCGAAGTCGCGACTCAGGCATATGTTTTTTTATTAGTATGCATGAACGAAAGCTGGAAAATCCCAGTTGCCTATTTTCTTGTCAAGGGATTATCGGCTGAAACTCGGACAAATTTATTAAAAATATGTTTAACTGAATGTTATCGAGTGGGAGTAGACATTGTTGCAATTACTTTTGATGGCTGTGCATCAAATTTAAATGCAGCTAACTTACTAGGTTGTGATTTAAAAAATCCAGCACATCTAAAAACAACTTTTAGACATCCTGAATTTGATTTAGATGTTGCAATCATGCTTGACCCTTGTCATATGATTAAATTAGTACGAAACTCATTCGAAACTAAACGACTGATTTTTGGCGGGAGTGGAAAGGAGATTCGTTGGAAGTTGCTTGAAAACTTAGTGAAACTTCAAAAAACGTTGGGCTTAATTTTGCTAATAAAATTACCCCACGTCACATTCATTTTAGAAATGAATGAAAATGAAATGAAGGTTAAATTAGCTACCCAAATTTTTTGGTTACAATGGTGGTTATATACAATTAATTATTTTATTGAGTGTGGCCGCGGGTGGACGGGGTGGGTTTCCCCTCCACCCGCATTAGTTTGGCCAGCCGCGAGGGGGCGGCGTCCGCGTGTGCCGGACGTCGCCTAAAGAGAGGAAAATTTTGAGACAGGGCCCGCAATAGGAGCGGGCCGGCGCTAGGAGGGGTCCAGAAGGCGATAACTACCTGGACCCCTCCTAAACTGGAAGCGCAAAGAGGGCACACCGTGTGGTTTTAGTCGGTTCGAGTACGACACACCACCCCGCCGCAAACCCCGGTGGGGTGACGGTCCGAGGGGATTTCCACATGTTAAAAAAAAAAAAAAAAAAAAGCTACCCAAATTTTGAGCTTGAGTGTTGCAAATGCACACAAACTGTGTGATGACATTTTATCATCTTCCCTCTTTGTGGACACTATAGGTACGGTAGAATTTTTAGAAACTTTCAATCATTTATTTGATATTTTTAACTCGAAATCATCCGATTTCCATGGTATGAAAAAGCTCCTGTGTAATAAAAACGCCAGTGATATTATGGCTTTTCTAGAAAAAGCTAAACAATATATATTGGGTCTTTATATTTATGTAAAATATGAACGCGAGGTTCGTAAAAAAATTACTATAAAAGTAGTAAAAAAGAAAATGATAGAATCCAAATGCAAAACAGGATTTTTAGGGTTCCTCCATTTGCATAGAAAGTTTGAAACATCTGTACTCTACTTTAGTCGAAAGACAACGCTTACAATACATCGCAACCTTCAGATTATCTCAAGACCACATCGAAATATTGTTCGGTGCTATCAGACGGCATGGAGGTTATAACAACAATCCCAACGTTGTTAAATTCAAAGGAATTTTCAAAAAAAATCTTCAACACCTGAAAATGAAATCTACTTTTTTAGGAAATTGCATACCACTAGAAGAGATTACTGTGTTGACGTGTTCATCAGCAGTCCAAAATATTAATTCTACAGTAAGTAGAAGATCTATCGATGAGATTGACTCGATTGATGATGATTGTCAGCAATCGAATCAAAACGCTAAAGAAACTGAAATAAACACAAATGTAAAATTGTTTTCGACAATGCTAAATAATGAAAGTGTGAAAAAGATCACTGAACAGATTATCGGTTATATTTCGGGATGGGTATCCCAAAAACTAGCTTCAGTGTGGAAATGTTCGACATGCATTGATAGTCTGTACTGTAACAACAAAGTGTGGTTTCACAAATTAATTGTTTTTAAAAACATGGGGGGACTATGTTTCCCAAGTGAGAATGTGTTCCAAATTTGTCTTAAGTCAGAAGCTGTAATTAAAAACCACATTAAAGAAAAGGGTCACATTATCCTTCCCGATCCCAAAGATTTAGAAATTAAAAAAAAAACCGTATTTTAAAGACATTTATTAGACGTAATAACGTATTTTGCATCAGCGTTCTATTGAGCAACATCCCATTTTTAATCACAGGGTGCACCTCATCCGTGCGATCATAGATAAATTTATTAATATTCGTCTAAATTTAGCACATAAAAGTTCCGAAGCAAATTATAAGAGACAAAAAAGAAATAAATTAAGTTTGTTTGAAGGAATTTGAAAACATGTTTACTAAACAGTTAATTTTTTCACGATTCAGGGTGGGTCTTGTGGTAAAAATGGTTCATAATGCTATTGCTAGTAATTTCATTTATCGCACCTATGTGATATCCATACTTTATACCCGAGTACCAAAATGTGTTTTTTGTAAACGTATAATAAGGGTTTTTATGTTTAACTAAAATACTTCAGTTTTATTCAGCAAATTCAGGCTTTCAGTGACAACTTCCTATTAATATATTATTATATTTCCATCCAAGTGAAGATCCATCCTTTTGACAATTTAATAAGTGTGTAAGCTGAGAGAGCCCTGGTACCCTTAACACAAGTTTAATCTTACCATGGGTACCAGAGTTTTCATTGACACTACCATTGTTCGCGCCAGTAATGGACGCGACGCAGTTCCTGAACGTAACGCGGCTGTCAAGAGTGACAGTCGTAATACTGTTATATGCCAATGGAATAGCTGCAACTTTCTCCCTAACGCGTGATCAACATAGCGTAATACTAGACTTTAAATTCGTGCCGGCAACCAACTAATTAAGTTAGTTGTGTATGTCCCGTTACAAACTATAAACAGTGGCCCGTGAGTGAAAATAAACTCATTGAAATAAGTTACCAGACAATTAGTGACCACGCGGTTTCAACAAGCCTTTACCTCCAACAACAACCCAGCAGCGTCACCCGCAGCGCAGCACCAGTAAGTACACCAACGATTCACATCCTATACTAGGACCTCAAATATATATTTCCATACCCTATTCTTTCCCTTTAGTCAGCCCACCTTATCTATGTATCGCCAAGCGGCCGATACAACCATCATATGTTTTGATTTTTTCTGTTAGTACACATTTTTTTATGTCCATATAAGAGTGTTATTGTGCAACCTTTATTTGAAATAAATTTTATTATTATTATTATAATTTTATTTGCCATAAATAATGATATGAAATAATTAATATTTTACAAATTTACATTTAATATTAATATTAATAAATCATAATTACATAATTGAGCAGTGTGAAACTCTAGTGTTCTTTTTTCCCATAATGACACTGATAGCTACGTCACACAAGCACTTGAGCAATAAGCATGCGGCACTTAATCGTAAAGTAACTAACAACCGTATATTCATCTCCCTCTAACAAGTGTTAACCCGTATGGTGGAGTTTATTTTCTTTTCTTTTTCTTCAGACGAGTAAGGGCTAGAATAGCCCTAGCCTTAAACTATCATGGTAGCGGTGCAGTCAAGGATTGGAAAGGATGGTCCAAAGTATGTAATGCCATTATTGTTATGAATAAATACCCATACTTTGCATTGATGTCACACAGCATAGAATGTTAACCTTATAGTCAAAGAACATTCCTAATCGTCATCAAATCAGTTGCGGGAATGCAATGGCGAGAATTTAGCCTATTGTACCATGCAGGCCAGATGTGATGGTATAGGGTTTTTAAGCGAGTTTTCACTCTCTCGCAATGATACCATGTGAGTAACTTCTCCATTAGTTCACTCTTATGATTATGTTACCCTTGGAATGTGCGGCAACATTATTAATTTATTGACAAAGATACATCAGTAAAATTTAACAGGTTCCCTAAACACAAAAACAAGTAAAGGTTTTGTATTACAAAGTAAAGCATAAATGTAAAGTAATTATTATTATTTAATTTTTGCCCACCCAGGACAGATAATTGTGTTATAAGCACTGTCATTTGTTGTGTGTCTGGGCGTACTTTATCTATAATTTTTACTTAGAAATATATCATATATACGAGTACATACATCACATATCTTCAGTACTGGAATGACTACAAAGCCAAATTGAAAAAGTTGGCTGCAGCATATGCATCAGCTCAACATGAGACTGGTGGAGGACAGTCAACAAGCAAGGCACCTACTGATATAGAAACGAAATTCCTTTGTATTTTGGGAAATTATTTTGGTTTCGGGTTGCCAGGAATAAGTGTTCGCGCCACTAAACAAATTTCGTGAAAACTATTACTTTAAATATTTTGGTTGGTATTATATCACCTCCACTATCCCTTTCCTGCACAACGCCTATACAATATGTGTGAGCGAGATGGACTCACCACCGCACGCTGCACATTCGTTGTACATAAATGAAAAAAGTAGTCTCGTTCGTCCGTGTTACCGTCGTGTTCGAAATGCGCGCGTGTGCCACATGAAAAATCACAAATTAATAACTTTCGCATTGTGGTTTGTTTAATTTGGTGAAAATACCACCTGGACTTTATGCTGCTCCGCACAGGAAATAAGGTATCGTGCAATCCATCCCGTTGGAACTGATTATTACTTTTCATTTTTCCTAACAGTTCTAATTTCC